TGTCATTGGAAACAGGGCCGGCCCGTGGCATAGGCGGTATAGGCAAATGCTAAGGGCGCCACCACTCAATAGGGGCGCCAAAATGAGTGAACGAGTGAATTTTTTTTAATTTAATTTTATTTTTACTAATACTATTTTAAAACCATTAATTCGAAATACTACAAAATAAAGCAAAACAACTCCACAAAAACTTAACTAAGTCCCCCGACTCCGGTCCAGCGCATCAATCTTCCCCCGCCCAGCGAGTGCTTGAAGTGCGTCAGAAACAGAGCGCGCGCGATCAGTTTACTGTTGGTCATTTGTTGTGTAGCGTCGCCCCTCGCCGCATCCAATGTAGACAGCATTGCTTTCGTTTGAGGGCGCTTAACACACTCAAGCACTAGAAACGGGCCTGGCAGCTTGCGCCAGGTCTAGACACGGTGAAAGTTACCTCATTGTGACAGATGGCCGAATTTTTTTTATGACACATTTAAATTAGCATTACAGCCTGCGATAGATACAGTGCCAAAGAGGAGAGGACACAAGGGGATAAAGACAGAGGTAAAGTGATGTAATGAATGAACAGTTTATCTAATTGCATAGTAGTAAGATACTATAATTTAATGGCAGTTATTTTTACCTTATAACTTTATGCTAACAGTAGTTCTGAGTTCTTCAGAGCCCCCAGACAATGCGATTTGTAACAATCATGTCAGTCTTTTTTAGACGCATTTACTATCACTTTTATTAATTAAAGTTTTACTATACAGTTGTGCAGTTTTAAGGGGGATATATGGCATTTTTTCAAATTTATTTGCCAAAATTATTAACGATATTTATAGGCTACAGGTTTATTATGTTTTATGTAAAAAATTTACATTAAAGAAGACATTTTGCAGTTTCATTCATGTTGAAAACATGAACCGTGCCATAATTTAGTGTAAGATTGCTGCCATCAACTCCCAAACAAACACTTTTGCTAGTGCTCAATGAATAGTTTGTGCATGAATGACATTTGGACGATGACATCACATCCAGAGCAAGCTATATATAAATTAGATAAATAATATTTTTTTACAACAAAATAAACCATCACTGAACATACTTAAGCTTGATTATGACACTATTTTCTTCTAGATCTGCTGTACAGGAGAAGCAAACTTTGTTGCATTATTTTCCTGTTATCACTGTAAAGCTGCCTTGAAATAATCTGTATTGTAGGCTAAAAAGCGCCATATAAAAATAAAGGGGACTTGACTTGAATGCTAGATGTAATGCTCTTGCTATATATATATATATATATATATATATATATGACTAAATAATCACCAACACAATGATGGGGTGAAATGGGCTGTAATGCATGGGGCACCAGGTAAAATCTTGCCTAGGGCGGCAAATTGGTCAGGGCCGGCCCTGATTGGAAAGGGGGGCTTACATGTAAATGCAAGACACTCGCAGGAAGATGTTGCAGGCAGTATAATGGGGGACAGCTCTAGATCCTGTCGGTGAATGACAGCTAGGCCACCACCGCGGCCAGTGCTGCGAGCTGCCTCCAAATAACTGTAGCCGGGGGGACAGGCTTCATTTAGGGCAGAGTAAACCTCTGGCTGATGCCAGGTTTCCGTCAGACACATGAAGTCAAGTCCTTTCTCCCTGATGTGTTCTTCAATCAATGTGGATTTATTATTGATGGATTGAGTGTTGAAAAGTTCGATTTTGAACAGTGGCGGTTTTAGCAAATTGGGGGCCCAAGGCGAAGGTAGTATGGGGCCCCCCATCCGATCTTTAAAAGAGAACGAAAATTAAAATCAATTTAATTTTTTAAAAAATAAACCATTAAATGGCACTTTCTGGAGAGTTTTGTGCAAAGAAATATAGAAAAAAAGTAGGTCTAGCAAGTCTTATATTTCTGTAATTCATACAGATCAAACACAAATATGCTGACTGAATAGATTACTTGAGAAACACTGCTTTAATTATTTTTTTTATGATGACTTTGTGAAAGGTTAACTAAACAGCATGAGCCGTCTTCCTGCTGGCCAGTAAGTTATTTGGCAAATTTCATTCATACAGATCTGTATTATGCTATAGTTTTTGATAGTGTTATACATTTCTTACAGATAATCACGATGATCATTGCGTTTGTCTTACCGAATGTGGTAGCTTTATGCAATTACAGTTTGTCTATAAGCTTTTTTTTTATTAATGCCGACAGTAAAATGTTGCCAGATATTGCTACGAAAATCAAAACAAAATAATAATAATAATCCGAAATAAGTTCAAAGCTTGTGTTTTGGAAATAAGGTTAATATATCACTAACCCTAACATGCAACTTTCCACTTTAATAACTTCCTAAAGTGTCACATTAAATCAGAAAAACCGGTCCAGGAGACTACTGCCACCTTTCTATTAGGTGGATCTGGCAACACGGAGGCTGCACGCGCGCCCTCTCTCACAACGCGCTCTCAAGCCCCGTTCACTGCGCTAGCTTCTCGCAGCAACATGAATTGCAAACACTCATATGAGGTGGTTTAAACGGCTAATTAATCATTCAGAGAGCGAACACATTTTATTTTTGAATGTAAAAAAAATGACAGAGTTCTGGACCTCGGTCAGCGGGCATCACAAAAAAGTTTGTTACCTTCTGCAATTTTGCTAAAAACGTTTTGCTTTCCTCCCCCTTCCTGGTTTTTCAGCACCGCTTGGGTAGCTTCGCTTCATTTTTACTCTGTCTACTACTCTGTACACTCTGTCTGTCACTCTGTACACTGTCTGTTAATCACTTATTTTTCTCCGTCAGTTTTTTGGCGCATTACAGCCTTGTCACTTTCGCACGCAGAAAGTGAGATAATGGAATAGTCCAATGTAGTGAGGTGGGGGCCCCCTCCTGTCTGCGACACTAATGATTTGATGCCTTTTTTCGCAAATGTTTTTTTAGAAATATATAATTTGCGAAAAGTAAAAAAAAAAAAAAATAAACTTAAGCATAATTTAATGGGGCATTTTTGGGGGCCCCTAGGTAGCTCGGGGCCCAAGGCAATTGCCGACCTTTGCCTAATGGTTAAGTCCGCCCCTGATTTTGACCAATGACTGTGGGGTGAATCTTTGTATGGGTCGCAAAACATTAAAATTTTCTCCACGCAGACTGGAATCCACTCCACGAAATGTATCCAGCCGAAAGTGCGAGGATGCCATACTGGAGTGCAGAGGTCTCGTGATATTTCCAGTATTGATGGTAGCTGGCGCGACGGTACTCTGATGACGCGTCATACATGTGACGGATGACCAGAGAGATGGGATGTTTGTAGCAGAGCAGCTTGGCTGTTTATGAAAGACGAATTTTCGACCGGAGCCTCTATGAATGTAACGAGGACGGCGAATAAGTCCAAGTTCTTTAATGATGGGGATATTAAATCCAGGTGTGGTTGCGAAGTTAAGTCGTCGGAGTTGCGAGCTGGAATATCTGAACGCCATAGTGAGCTGGAAGCCGTCTGAAGCAGGTAGCAGCTAGGTGTCTAGCTACCAAGTTTCCCACTGGTATAAAAAGTGCGCACCTTTGTTTAAAAACAAACTAGTGCACAAAGCTCGTAAAAATAGCACAAGCACAAAATATATGTAAGCACAATTAAAGATAACGGGCGGAAAAGCGGCGAACAAACAACGCCTGCGTCCTCTCCTCCATTCATCAAAAATGAAATGTGAAACTTATAAAGAAGTAGGCTCATACTTTCCATGTAAGGAAATAACAGTCTATATCAGCAGGTATTAATAGTCTATATTCGTCATTCAAAAAGAGAAACCAAAACTAGGTCTGCAGATACAAACCATTAAAAAAGCAGCATTTTGAATGTCTATCATGATCACTTCATTCCAGGTGGCTCATGCTGTTATGAAAATATTTGCGTATTGGAATGCTCAGGTAAGATAACGTAAAATTAGATCCGACTTCTGTCTATGCCATCTTGGCTTCTTTGTTCGCTTTTTATCGCTTCTCGTGCACTGACTCATTTGCTAAACTGAACAGCCAATCAGAGTGATCTTTCTCAACGCCGGCCCCAGTGACATGAGCCTGACTAGAGCTGACTGCAAAAACTATCCCGACAGACGCTCACCGACGGCCCGTTGTTGGCCAGTTACCGACCGTCAGCTTGGTTTCGAATGGCCCAAATCAACCCAAGTGCTTAATGACAGTCATCTGATATTTTTTAAATGATTGAATCACATTAATAACGCATAATCAAAATATCAGTTTTCTGTACGTTACTGAAAAGTAACAAAATCCCAAAACTGGAGCGTGGATCTGGAAAACAGCCTAAGCAACAGCTTACCCAGACTAACAATCGCACATCGTTTAAATAAGGTGCCATGACAAAGTTTCACTTTGAGGAGGAAAAAGTGGAAAAAAAACATCCAGAACCACAAACACAACTGGGCCATGAATCCCTTCACAGGTTTTTTTTTTTTTTTTTGCTCAATTTTCTGTGCAAAATTATTAACCTTGTTAACTTTGTCTAATAACTGCTGAAATATGATTGGCTGATGGAAGCCATGTTTTTCTAGATACACAACTGTCCTCATGGACAATGATTGCAATTCTTGGGTCACTTTCATGTTTTGTTATAGTGCCATCAAATGGCCAAACGCTGTTGCTTCTGTCTTCAGACATAAGGGTCAAATTTTGTGAAAACATTTCCTGTTCTAATGTTATATCAATTTAGGGTAAAAGCTGTGATATTCACTGCTTTTGACAACTTATATTAACATTTTCCTGAAACTATAAGAAAAGTCTGCCAACCAGGTTATTATTCTACTGATATTATTCCAATCAGGCGAATAGCTTAGAACCAGTTGTGTTTATGTATTTATTTGATAAGTAGCTGTCTGCATGGAATAATGTATATTCAGCAGCTCATTACTGTTTCACGTCAGGTTTCAACTTATTTAATGTGTAAATGATTTTGACACACATTTTGTTTGTTTTTAAATAGCAAATTTAGCACCTTAACTCTGTCTTTAGATGGGAGAGACCACACGTCATGTACGGACAGCTGCTGGACTGGCTGCGCTACCTCGTGGCCTGGCAGCCTGTTATCATTGGTCTGGTACAAGGCATCAACTACATCCTGGGTTTGGAGTAACAACAGCACCCAGTGTAGAGGGACCAGCATACTTGATTTAAACTGCAGCAAATAAATGTCTTTGGTTTCTCGGAGACGGGGACTTTTTTCCTCCAATTTCTGTCTCTGAGTCTTGCTGTGCTAATGTGTCATCAAATGAAATACTACTAACAGTCTGATGTTGGATGTTTTTGTTGGCATTTTTTGTCTGACATTTGTTGATGGACTACTTGAAGTTTGGACTTTTGAAATTTGCATAAACAATTTACCATGTGCACATTGGGTTTTATAAAAAATAAATAAAATTGCTGTAAATATGTGCTCACCATAAGCACACTAGGCTATGCGCATGCGTTCTTTTACTGGTGTGTGTGAGTAAGTAGTATTGAATGGAATAGAATGATTTAAAACATTTTTAATTTGACACACATTTAGATTAAATATGCCACTCTTGTGTATTGAGTTAAGCATTTAAAATGACCAGTAATCGTTATCCTGAAGTTCTAGTGATGAGCAATGCACATGTCATGATTAGCAGACAGCATACAGTAAAGACAGACACTGCCCGACTCATTCAGTGGTCAAGCAGTCCTTTTCCCAGTTTGAGTAGGTCTGATGAAATGTATAACCGCTGACACACACAGGTATGCTGTTGTGTGCAGACAGAAAGTACCCTAATGATGACGCCTTCCTTATTTTTTCTTAACATTATGAAAAAAATGTTTAATTTTTAAATGTTCTGTCAGTGACGCGTTGATGTATTATTTTAGAAAAATCCAAAAATAAATATCTGTTCTGTTTACCCTAAAAATATTTAAACATCTTAAAATATATTCTCGTTATAAACAGAATTCCTACAACAAATAAATTCATCTGCCAATGGAAATTAATGAGAATAATATTCTTTTTAAACAAGACTGAGTAGAAAAATTTTGCAATGTAATGTGTTGGCACAGATGGCATTTACAATCCATATTATCGTGTACTGTTTAACTTGCCAGTATAACATGGATGGGTTATTTCGGGGAGGAGAATGTGGCAATGCAGGTATGCACAATTTCCATTAATTGGGCTTGATAAAGGGAATTTACTTGAGTATGCAAAATCTGTGTTTTGTAGTGTGTGCGCACAACAGGAGAAATCTATACAAGTTTTATACATGAGGCCTCTGGTCTCCAGAAGAATATTTTGTAACGAAAGAACTAATGTAACACGTTAATACATTAGGTAATGTATTTAATGTAGTTATCCATATGGAAATCTAATATATGTACAAATATGAAATATCCTCATATAAAGTAAAAACTTATATTTACATATACACTCACCTAAAGGATTATTAGGAACACCTGTTCAATTTCTCATTAATGCAATTATCTAATCAACCAATCACATGGTAGTTGCTTCAATGCATTTAAGGGTGTGGTCCTGGTCAAGACAATCTCCTGAACTCCAAACTGAATGTCAGAATGGGAAAGAGGTGATTTAAGCAATTTTGAGCATGGCACGGTTGTTGGTGCCAGACGGGCCGGTCTGAGTATTTCACAATCTGCTCAGTTACTGGGATATTCACGCACAACCATTTCTAGGGTTTACAAAGAATGGTGTGAAAAGGGAAAAACATCCAGTATGCGGCAGTCCTGTGGGCAAAAATGCCTTTGTTGATGCTAGAGGTCAGAGGAGAATGGGCCGACTGATTCAAGCTGATAAAAGAGCAACTTTGACTGAAATAACCACTCGTTACAACCGAGGTATGCAGCAAAGCATTTGTGAAGCCACAACACACACAACCTTGAGGCGGATGGGCTACAACAGCAGAAGACCCCACCGGGTACCACTCATCTCCACTACAAATAGGAAAAAGAGGCTACAATTTGCAAGAGCCCACCAAAATTGGACAGTTGAAGACTGGAAAAATGTTGCCTGGTCTGATGAGTCTCGATTTCTGTTGAGACATTCAGATGGTAGAGTCAGAATTTGGCGTAAACAGAATGAGAACATGGATCCATCATGCCTTGTTACCACTGTGCAGGCTGGTGGTGGTGGTGTAATGGTGTGGGGGATGTTTTCTTGGCACACTTTAGGCCCCTTAGTGCCAATTGGGCATCATTTAAATGCCACGGCCTACCTGAGCATTGTTTCTGACCATGTCCATCCCTTTATGGTCACCATGTACCCATCCTCTGATGGCTACTTCCAGCAGGATAATGCACCATGTCACAAAGCTCGAATCATTTCAAATTGGTTTCTTGAACATGACAATAAGTTCACTGTACTAAAATTGCCCCCACAGTCACCAGATCTCAACCCAATAGAGCATCTTTGGGATGTGGTGGAAGGGGAGCTTCGTGCCCTCGATGTGCATCCCACAAATCTCCATCAACTGCAAGATGCTATCCCATCAATATGGGCCAACATTTCTAAAGCCCCGTTCACACTACACGCGACCAAGCGACGCGATACCATTCATTTCAATGGGGAGCTGGCGTTTCCGGCGACACGCGCGACAGCGACCGTTGGCGACCGGATGGGGCGTGTCTGGCGACGCGACAAAGTTGAGATCTGTTTAACTTTATGCAAATGAGGAGCGACTTTCGGGAGCGACAACCAATAGGAGCGGAGCGCGTATGATCCTTCTCCACATCATTGGATGTCATTCATAAAGGCAACCAGTCGTGGGAACTCCCACTAGCGACCTCATCGCCAGCCACTGGCGACATGCAGCGACAAAGTCGCTTGTAGTGTGAACGGGGCTTCAAGAATGCTTTTAGCACCTTGTTGAATCAATGCCACGTAGCATTAAGGCAGTTCTGAAGGCGAAAGGGGGTCAAACACAGTATTAGTATGGTGTTCCTAATAATCCTTTAGGTGAGTGTATGCCCAGCTATGTATGAAACCTATTAGAAATTGGAACAATTACATGTATCGACATAAACATAGCTCATAAAATATGTTTTTGTATAATTCACATTTTGAAATATGCCATAATCATTAGTACACATGAGATGTCTTTCTATAAATGTGTTATATAGAACTACAAATTACCCATACATGCACACTTTATAAGTCAGTAAAACACTCAAAAAAATGACTCTTTAAACTTACTCAATTTAATTATGGACAGTGCTTCCACACAAGCAAATTATTTTTTATTAACATTAATGGAATTTGTTGAATCTATGTAAGCTCCTTGTGTTGTGACAACACAACTGAATCAGAAAGAATCTATGTTAAATAGTAATGTCCAAACAAATCAATGGAATTGCTTCCCTGTAACTGATACAGACTTAACTGAACCGATATAGACTTTCATCGAACCTTCGTACAAGGTTAAAAACTAGTTCAAATGTGGCCATTGTGGACATATTTTCAACATCATTTATGGTCTCATTTAGACAGAATTACTTTGACTTTTGCTGTCAGATGATCTTAGTGAGAATTAACAGAAGTTTAGATGTCACCATTGTGGTGATCAGTGTTTGCTTTAGTTGGGCCCCTGGTCCCCTTAATTTTTACTTTAGCTTTTCTGTGGCTGCTGTATCTCTGTGTTTGTATAACACAGTCAATGTTGCAAAGAAAGTCAAGAATAAGTAAGATCAGGTGTTATCAGCTTCATGTTGATGTTGATGATGAAAGCTTCACAAAACAGACATCAAGATTTTACATATGATTCACAACAATGGTGACAAAAAAAAAAATGGTCATGCTGCAATGCATGATGGGTAGATTTCATAGTTCAAAACTCATCATTGATTCCCAAGCTTTTTTGTTTTGATTGTCACCGTTGTTGTGATTCATATCCAAAATCATGATGTCTGTGTGTGACTACATAATACATTTGCTCAAAACATCATGTACACATGCTTTTTATATTTTAAAAATATTTCTTATTCTATTGGCACCAATATTGCACTTCCACAAGGTTGGTAATGCCAAACATAAATACAATTTTAAACTCAACATTTGAAACTTGATTTGTGATGATTATGTCATCATCAACATTGAGCTGATAACACCTGATCTAACTTTTTCTTGGCTTTCTCTGCCACAACAATTGTGTTATACAAACACACAGTTACAGCAGCCAATGAAAATTTAATGTAAAATCTACAGGGACCAAGAGCCCAACTAAAGCAAACACTGATCACCACAATGGTGACACTTCAAATGAAACAAATATCTAAATATCTAATAATCTAAATATCTAAACTTCTGCTAATTCTCACTAAGATCATCTGACAGCAATAGTCAAAGTAATTCTGTCTAAATGAGACCATAAATGATGTTGAAAATATGTCCACAATGGCCACATTTGAACTAGTTTTTAACCTTGTACGAAGGTTCGATGAAAGTCTATATCGGTTCAGTTAAGTCTGTATCAGTTACAGGGAAGCAATTCCATTGATTTGTTTGCACATTAATATTTCACATAGATTCTTTCTGATTCAGTAGTGTTGTCACAACACAAGAAGCTTACATAGATTCAACCAATTCCATTAATGTTAATAAAAAACAATGTACTTGTGTGGAACCACTGTCCATAATTAAATTGAGTAAGTTTAAAGAGTCATTTTTTTGAGTGACAGGTTAAGTTAATTAAATGCTATACAATAGTGTTTTGGTGGTAAAATAAATATATGTGTGTTACTTTAACAAAACATACTTGGGTAAAAATAACAGAGCCACAAAACCTTTTTTTTTTTAGTGTATATGCAGTGTTTACAAATCATTTGCAAAAGTTTATAGTTTATAAACTGTAGTAAATATGCAGTGAAGTCTACATTAATAGACTATATACAAACAATGAGTTCTTCATACATTGTTACTGTAATTAACAGTTTTTGTTTTTTTAAATTGCTCATATTTAAAGAGTTGAGATTGCGTTGAAATAACTAATTAACCGTAAATATTTCTCACTTTAGATTAGGTCATGGAATATCGGAAAATGTCATTAAGTGCTTTAAACCAAACTTTATTGGACATTAATTGCATTAATAATAAGAATTCCTTAAAATGTTTACAAATATATTAAGCCTATCCCCAAAGCTCAATATAACCACTTAAAAAATTAAAAAACAATGCTGTCAATATGAAATACATACAAATACTCATTAAATAAAGTACATCAGTTAGGTTTAGGGTGAGGGGATATAATATACAGTGTGTACAGTATACGAATCCCATAGTTAAATTTTCAAAATTTATATGGAAAGTCACAATAAAAAATTGGAAACCCAACGTGTGTGTGTATGTGCATGTGTCAAGTCACCTTTATTTATATAGCGCTTTTTACAATACAGATTCTATCAAAGCAGCTTCACAGTGATAACATGA